GTTTGTATAATAATTGTATATTTTATTAATTAATACATCTAAAAAATATATATTTTTATAGCAATTAATTTTTTATTTATATACAATAATTATAATATTTATTCTAATAAAATAATATATAATAAAATTCAATAATTAATATAATAAAATTCATATTATATTAACAATAATACTCATGACTGCTTGCTGTCATCTCTGCAAAATAGTGACTGCCCAAGGATCATAAGAGCTGACAGAGTGAGCTAGTGTGAGTTGTTTGAAGAGGAAATGTGGCTGTGTCTCTGGAGATGAAGGGTTAGACTTACATCTTGGTTATCGCAGCCGACCATCTCTCCGTATGACACCTGCACAATGACAGAAAGAGGATGAGACACAGAGCACACAAGACAAACACGCACATACGCACCTGCAGCTGAGTGTCACAGATGCGCGCACCTGCGAACAAAGACTGCAAGTTTTGTCTTTGATGTCTATTTAGAGACACACACACATTTCTATTTTTGATACTTTGACAAAAGCAATATTACTTTGAGGCCATAAAACAAATGCATTCATGGGGAGACAATTCTTTTGCACTCAAACAAACTAAAACACACACACACTCTCAGAGAATCCTTCTGCAAACCGTTACTGGAGTCACACACACACCGCACCTCCCTAAACAGGTCTTTGATTTTCCTGTATGATCTTGCTCTATTGGGGATGGTTAAGAATAGCTCAAGAGATAGAAGTTTTTCCTTTTCAAAACATTAGTTCTGATCATATCTGGCAATTGTTTAAAGGAATAAACTGTTAAATTAAAATTAAATTAATAATGATACTGGAAGCGAAAAAAAAAAATTCAATATCAGAATCACAGTAAAAGCACTAGGAATAGTAGTGTCACTCTGTATGAAAGAGATGTGACGTGAACACACCTGGTTGCAGATGCAGTATCTGGGTTCGTTTGGGTCATAGGTCCAGTCCACCTGACTGCTGGTGTCAGTTTCTGTGATGGTGGTCTGTACCAGTTCATGAGCCAATGCTGACGTTGATGAGCAGGATGACAGTGAAGAGGAAGAGGAGGATGAAGAGGACTGGTGGTTGGAAGACTTAGTGTTGCCTCTGAAAAGCCGAGCAAGAAAGTGGTTGCAAAACAAACGTACATAAATTTAACATAAAATGTGTCAGAGCAAGAGTTTCGCACTCATGCACAATGTACAAAAACACCACAAATATGTATCTGGGTGCCTCATTCAGGAACGGAATAAATGGATATGGCAACAGTGCGAGTCTTACTTGGTCTTGCGTCCTGTGCGAGAGTCCGAGCTGTTGTTGGACGTGAGGGGCTGTGTGAGTGTGTTAGCCAGTGCAGACGACGAGTAACCGCTGGTGTCCCGGCTCAGAGCAAACTCCCGCCCCAAGAAATCATTGTTCTTCACAGCTTCATAACTGGCCTTGAGACTGGATGTTCTCCTGCCCTCTTTCATCTAAAGAACACAAACACACAAATATTAAAGAGGATGAAGAAACAAGTTCAAGTTCCTGTTTTATATATATATATATAACATAATCTGACACAAAAATAACAGATAAGAGAAAAAAGGACCCTAAGAGGCCAAAAATAGTTGAAACAGGAAGTGAAGGGAGGAGGGGGTACAAATAGATCTAAAATTAGAGGGGAAGAGGGGGGATGGCGGTTTCACCTGTGCGGTGGCTTGCACTGCCTGAGCTGCTGCCATGGAAATGGCCCCCGCCCCTACAGTAGGCCCGGCAGGAAGTGGGCTCAAGTTGAATGAGGAAAGCGTCTGGGAGGAGTTTACGTTATACACGCTGTTAGAAGAGGATGTGCTGTTCACTCTGCAGCCTGCAACACACACACAAAATCACATTTCATCTATGACCAGAAACACTTGTGAGGAACAGTCCAACATGAGTGATAACTAATCTCATTACATCATTACACTCATTTCTTCTGAACCATTCAGCAAATACCACACACGGCAAACATATGTGTGGGCAGGATTATGACAAATCATAATTGTTGTTTATTTCCCTTGACCCAGTGATTAGATTAGGGCTGCAGTTATACCAAATATTTGCTATATATTTGCAATGATTTTGCCGGAAATATAAAATTACTGTAATTCAAATGCACTTTTTATTTAGCCATAATGTTCCCTAAAGAATGTGTTAGATTAGTTTAACAATGCTCTTTCACAAAGTGCAAGTATGAGAGTGTTTACATGAAAACAGAGGATGTAGGTAAACTTTTTTGTAGTTTTATTGGTAAACAATTAAAAAGATATTAATAAAACATAAGATATCAATATTCATCAGAAATATTCCTTCCTTCCTGTGTTCATTTAATGTAAAAAAAAGAAAGAAAAAAGATCACCTTTATTACTTTTTAAAATTTAGTTCTTACGTAAATCATTTTGAATTGGCACTTGTCAACAACGGCTATTTGATGATTCCTGACAGGGAAAAATAATTAAAAATAAAATAAATAAATAATTCACCTATTTTAACTGCAAATACACTTCCATTCAATAAGGATTCAATCATTTTTTTAAATAAATTCACACTTTCACTGAGCAAGGATGCATGACATTGATTAAAAGTGACAATAAAGACATTCATAATGTTACAAAAGATTTCTATTTTGATAGAATGCAGAAAAAATGCATCACAGTTAATATAAAAAACAATGTTGAAAAACCAAATCAGCAAAGATTTCTGAAGGATCATGTGACCCTGAAAACTGGAGTAATGGCTGATGAAAATTCAGCTTTGTGTCACAGGAATAAATACAATTTTAAAATATTAAAATTATTTTAATTTGTAACAATTTCACAATATGACAATATTAAACAAATGCAGTCTTGGTGAGCATAAGTGACAAAAAAATTTAAAAATTACCGATACCAAACTTTTGAACAGTAGTGTAAATATTGAGATAT